CTCTCTCTCTCTCTCTCTCTCTCTCTCTCTCTCTCTCTCTCTCTCTCTCCCTTGCTAATCACACATTTATAGATCATTTATTGTTTAAAACAGCTATGTTGCAATAATATTTAATCATCTCTCATATGAATAATGCATTCTCTAAATGCATTCTTTAAATTAAAATCTTACAATAATTGATTTATTAATTATAATTTCATATATTACTATACTTTAGTATAAATTTATATCGTATATTTCAAAGTCTTGCAAAAAACATCAGATCTAAAATTTAATTAAATCAATTATATGCACAACTTTTTCAGAAATATATTTAAATATTAAAAAACACTTAAAAACGATATTTTAAATAACATTATTAAAATATTTACAATTTAAATTAATTTAATCTCTTTCGAAATGACAATAAGTTAATACACATGCAATATAATTTTTTTTTTCTTTTAAAACTTAATTAAATTTTTCTCTGGGGCGTAAGAAATAATTTTCGCATTCTCGAAAAAGACTATCTCAATAAAATTTAATACAAACAATATATATATTGTTTATATTGTTAATAAAAAGACTTCATGGTGGCAATACATCAAACTCGTAAATAATGTCATTCCCGAAATATGCATGATAGATACATCGAAGCTGAAAATAAAAATGCACAAATAAAAGTGGTCGCGGAGAGTCCCATTTTAGTTTTAGATATCCCTGATTTATTTATACGCCCGCACACGGCTCGATACATGGTAATCGCGTTAAATAAGAGTTCGTCGCTCCGAGAACGATAAAAAGCACGCGATCAATCGTATCCGCCGAAAGATTTAACCCCCATATTTTTTCCCGACTTTCTTGTTGATTGACGTCAATTGCGCGATCAAGGGTCGTTGACGACATTATGTTGAGCAAGAAACTCTTCCGTCATTCTTCTGGCGCTATTATGGAGCCCCCTCCGTTTAATTAGCAAATCGCGTAAAGGAGAGATACTCACGGTTAGGACATGCCGTCCAGTGTACAACTTCCGCGTAGACCGTGAACAGGGCCAGAATCAGGAAGAGTGCGCTGTTTCGGATCATCTTCGATGGATGGTGGTTCGTAGCCAAGTGAAAGAAGACCGACGTGAGGGTCAGTCCACGCAGAGGCAGATAACGGAGCGGTGAACCGGGGGAGGGAAAGGGTAGTGGGGCCGTAGGTCAATTGAGATAGCGTCTTGATCACGACAGAACTTATGCGCGATGGTCGTGTCTCTTCTTCCAGCAAAACGCGTCACAGAATTCTGTTCCCGTCGTCGATGACTAAGCAGTGAACGATCTCACGATAACCCTCCATATCCGGGATAGGATAGAGAAAGAAAGTGAACTATGATATTTTTTTCTGTGTACGTAAGATTCTTTGTTAAAGATAATTGAACCATTCTATCTAGTCTCACATAGGGTGGATATTACTTATACACATTGTTGCTTACATAAATATGGATTTGTTATGTATATTTTGAAGTGTCTTTTTAAGATGTCAATGTACAATTTCAATTTTATGATAGATTTATACTTTTATAATCATATATCAACAATATTTTATAATTTTTGACTGAAAAATATAAACATTTATAATTTACATTATGTACAATGTACCAGAGACAAGCTAGCAACGATACGTCAGGCGATAGAAAGCGAATAAAAGATAATAATGAAGAATATTGGTAATATAGCACAATTATATACATATATATAATATATTAATGCTAATTCCATAAATATTACATAAGGCAACATAAAGAAACATCCAAACAAAAAAAAAAATAAACGCTGCGGACAGGATTCGAACCTGTGCGGGCAAAGCCCATTGGATTTCGAGTCCAACTCCTTAACCACTCGGACACCGCAGCTATTGATATCACGCTTATGTACGTTAGTACATAAAGCACATCTGTCACTCCAAAAATAACGTTGTTAATTTATTTCGGAAAGAATGCTAATACAAGACTATATGTAAAAATATATTTTTTTAATAATGATATCAAATAGATTTCATATAGAAATTTAATATAAATAAATAAACTATTACAAAGATATATGTATATAAAAATATAAAATTTGTACAGATAAATATATAGTAGAATTGTAATATTTTTACAATATTTTTGTTAAAAATTGCAAATACAGAAAGCAGATAAGATTACACAACAATAAATATATTACTTTATTTAAAAAAATTGAAATTGACATGATTATACACGAGTATATTATTACATATATTAATCTTTTATTGATCTTTTCTCTGTAGTAGATGGATTATTGGTCTTTGTTAGGTGCTTCAAAAATTCAATAATGTACCACTGACAATAAGGATTCTTTAAGATGGCGTCATCTGTCGGGAGACTATCAATAAATGCACATGTTTCTTTTCTTATTGAATTCTCCATCGGTAAACTAATGAAAATATACATAATATATATGTGATAACTTTGTATATTAATTTAATTTAATTTTTAAATAAATTTATATTTTTAAAACACAATGCACAATTTAGAAAAAACAGTAAATTAAACAATATATTATTTAAAAACTGTATTATAAGTAAAGATAATTTCCATAAAATATAAGTTTTAATTTTACTTTTTATTACTTAACTTTTTAATTTCTTATTAATAGCTAATATATTAGCTTTTTACATTCAAAAAATTTATGTGTATTATATAAAAAGAAATTTTTTACATATTGACTTTGTGATTACTCAAGATATTTATGAGATCTATTATGTTTTTTTTTCTATCTAATATTAAATAATTAGCAATAATTTAAAAGTAGCATAAATTTAAATAATAATATTTAAAGTTAAATAATTCACACACATAACTCGTCTCCATATGCTGTCACTTTTCATAACGATATTTCGGAAGAATTTATTAATCTAATATTTTGTCTATTTTTTAACATCAAGTAAAATAAGGCATAACTATTAATTATTAAGTAATTATTAACAATATAATAAACAATTATTAACAAATAAGTAAGATGAGACGGGCAAATGACAGCCAACGCGCTGTCTGTGTAATTGTGTTCATTAATTAGACGTTTAGGTCCGAATATTGGACCATCTTCAGTAACTGTATACAAAAATAATAAATATAAATAAGATCGAAATATAAAAGAGGCTTACATAAAAGAAGTAAACGTACGTATTTTGACACAGTAAAAATAATATCAGGAGCGTGTCGAGCGAGCCGCACTTGTCAACATTGACGATACTAATGATGTGTGAATTTTCAAAACACGAAGGTTACGCGGTCGAGATATAAACAGACATACATAATATTGCGGAGACTTAAATTTTTTTCAAGTTGTTTAATATCGGTAAATATCGCGTTGGCTCTCATTTGCCCATCTCATCTTATTTATTTGTGAATATTATTATATATTTGGAGCCTAATATAAGTTATTTTTAAATAAACAATTACTTTTTATAAAACATTTTTGCGATAAAAAGATAACCATAATTTAACTTGTAATAGATTATCTTCATAATATCAATATGATTCATAATGACATAAATTGCGTCAGCGAGATTATGACGCAAAGAGATACAAGTTGAGTCGGCTCCGATATGGATACGACAACATGATAAGAATTTAAAGATCATATATATATTTTCAGGAATCAAAATTTATCGTATTCTTTGAATATGTTGTTTTCAAAATTGATAACATAAGCACTGTTCGGTGCCTCATTAACTAAAATGATTGAAGATTATATTCTTTGTGCCTTTCTTGACACATCTTACAATTTGAAAAATTGCAAATTACGCGAAAACGTTTATGTAGATATTGTATACATATGAAAAAATGCAGACGGCGCTATATTCAATCATAGAAGAATGAATCGTTCCCACGCGTAAAAAAAATGTGACAATCTTCACACTTTGATTATGTCACTCCGATGCTGTAATCACCGTAAGAAATAGAAACGACTTGTGAAAATTATACGGAAGGCGTAGGCGGATCGGGAGGATCAACTCGCGAGATAATAAGGTGATGGCTTCGTGAGGCACTTTCGGAATGCGAAATCGGCTAGGTGATTTGAATAAGAAGGTTGTGCAAAAGCAGCCGGACGTCTTTCGACGTTACGAGAACTTTTACTTTGCACGAGAAAGAAAGCCATTAAAGGAAGTTAGGCGGTGTTAAGTGCCAGAACCTACATTTGATATGAGAGAGACTTGTTCATTGTAATATTCATTGATATATATTCCAGATCTCCCTCTTTGCCTTCCTTGGTCAAAAGTTCTTATTTAGAGTCTTTAAATATATTTTTTTGTGTATATTGAAGCAAGATAATGTAAATGATGTTTTTGTGGCTTCCTGGTACTGTATTGTTTAAAATTTACACCAATCAATGATTGATTAAAAATTTTAAGCAAGATTTTTTGCTAATGATAAGTAAACATGCTATTTTTGTCGAAATTTTATAATTTATGCATTAAATAATGTCTATGAAAGAGAAATATTTAAAAAAACGGCTATCGTAAAAACATCACGAACAAATTCTACTTATAAAGAAATTATCGTTTTTTACTATAATCGGATAATTAAATCTGATATTATTACATCTTTATTTTAAAAATCAAGTTGATCAAATAAAATAGTGGATTTGTCCTTGAAACATATGCGCATTTTTTAAATATTTCTGTGAAAAATTTTATGCGTGGAATTTCATTCATGGGACATTAATAATAGATTACAACGCGGTTATAAAGTACATAATGAGAGAGAAGAGTAGTAATAGGTGCATTAGATTAACTATAGAATTTGCATATTAATAAAAAAACGCAATAACTCGCATTCTTCACCGCCTTTAATGCCGTCAGAGAGTCTATTCTCTCTCTCGTGTGAATACGTAAAAGTTAAAATTTTCAGATAAATACTTATGTGTGTAGCGACAGTAAGGTGACATTAATTACTATTGTAAATTAAAATATAATAACTAGTAATGGTTTGATAAATCATAATAGTGATAAAAGATCGGTAAACTGTTTATACAATTTGAAATGTAAATAAATATTACAAAAGAAAGACAATAAAATACAAGATCTCTCGATATGATTTTTTATTGGTTTTGCAATGTTGTATTAATTTTGATTTTTTATTTCTAGAATTTTAACGATGTTGTTTCGCGAAAATTGGTGTGCACTTGCCGGACGAATGAATGTAAACTACTCGTGTCATAAAGAAATGCGGATGCAGAAACTTCGTGTCGGAAACCGCGATCAAGTCGATATTTATGAGAAGCGGCGGAGCGTCAGTGAATTATCCGGGAACATTTGTTCGACATATGTTTCTTCCGGATTCGGAGAGAACCGGTTCTCTTCCATAAAGCTCCACAATTTAATTCAGGATCAATTCAACAAAGTTCCAATATTTTATAATATTCATAATTATTAAATATACCTATTGTTATCTTTATTGATTATTTGCCATTCTTTTTAATTTCTTAATCTTCATCAATTTTTTATATTAAGTATATTTTATATAAATGTTGCGATTTAAAAAGTCCAAATAACTTTTCGTTATAATTTTTATTATAAAAAAGGTCATGGCCAGAAATCTTTTTTATTTATTTCTAAACTCTTTCTCTCTCTCCCTCTTTATTATTGTTTCTGAAATATTTTTGTATTAATCATAAATATTATACACGTAAGACTCAATCACAGACTAAATATTCACAAAGCGCAAACTCTTTGTATATTTCATGTAATTTATTTTAAATATAAATATATCTATGTCTCTACATTTTTGAAAACTTCTCAACAAACAATAAGTTTTCAAACATGCAGATGTTTCTGCTTCTCAAGTATAGGAACGCAACTTTTATACATTGTCCTCTCTCATTCTTGTCGATTGAAAGCAACAGACAGGTAACCGACACGACGTGCCAGGTGAAGTTGAGAGCGACAGATTACGCTCCTGACATCGCGCTGCGGCATCGCACCTTGCCCTCGGCAGGATACCAGCGTGATACACCACTGGCCGTAAACCGCTGGCATGGCTCACCTGTTGGCCTCAGCAGTACTAGCTGGGTTCTCGACCGTGCGGCACCTTTCGCTCGTCGTTGCCGACGAAACGACGACGACTTTCCGTTCCTTAAGTA